GTTGGTTCTTATGGCTGTAGGACCCTTTAAGTGTGAAACGTTTGATGCAGCTCAGGAATTGATAGGGAAAGGGGATCGATGGAACTGCAGCAACCACCAAGGCTCTTGCTCACTAAGATGTATCAGAGACCACCTACTGAGGCACCAGAGGCTGAAGCAATCTGGATTCACGTAGTCTGCTTGCAGCTTACATCGACCTCAAGAAGCCGTTCGCATTCGATAGGGTGCATCGTCAATCACTTTGGGAGATCCTGAGACTGAAGGGCATCCCAACAAGGATTACTGTATTAATAGCAAGCCTATGTACTAGTACTGCAAGTGCTGTAAAGTATGGTGGGGCCCTGTTGAGCTTCTTCCCCATTAGTTCAGGAGTGAGGCAAGGCTCTGTCCCTGCATCAACACTTTTTGGGGCTTGCTAGGAGATCCTGTTCAGTTGGCACGTGCTGAGGATATTATAGTCACAGTGTGCTTTACATACCTTGGTAGTAACTGTATCTTGAGATTCTGGCCTGTCAGACCAGAAAGTCAGTAGATAGATTGGCCTGACAGCAGGGGTCATGAACTCTCTTGACAAGAGTATTTGGAGATCCCAATACCTGTGTAGGACTAAGTTATGTGTCTTTGAAACCCTGTTACTGCCAGATTTTCTCGATCTTGTGCCTTGGAATTTGGTCTTGAGTACAGTTACACCATGAGACTGGTACCAGACCCATTACTTGCACAATCCAGGACTGCCAACTCAGGCTATACGCGTACCCTGGCTCGCTTTCCACAGGATGATCCTGTCCACCAGGTTGTCTTTCCAGGTGGAGGAGGCCCATGGGACAATCTGGGAAGTTGTAGCTTGGAGACCTTTGTAGGCGGGAACGAAGGCTGGTAGTGGCCATGTGCTCTCATTGGCATTAGCTCTCCGATGGTGATGATTATGGGTCATACCAGGAGTTGCAGAGATTTGTGTTCTAGGCAAGAAGAGTTTATATATATATATATCTCTCTCTCTTTCTCTTGTTTTATTAGACTCAATGTCTCTCTCTCTCTCTCGCTCTCCTTTTGTTTTTTTTCTTGATTTTGTATGTGTACATACATACATACATACATATATATGTGTGTGTGTGTGTGTGTGTGTGTGTGTGTGTGTGTGTGTGTGTGTGTGTGTGTGTGTGTGTGTGTGTGTGTGTGTGTGCGCGTGCGTGTGTGTATGTATGTATGCGTGTATGTATGTATGCATGTGTATGTATGTATGCGTGTGTATGTATGTATGCGTGTGTATGTGTGTGTGTGTATGTATGTATGCGTGTGTATGTGTGTGTGTATATGTAAGTGTATACTTATACATATATATTCACATATGTGTTTATTTTTTTTATCTAAATGTATCATATGAAGATAACAAAATTTCAAGTGAAATTTTTACTTATACATCTCACAAGGCACACAGAATCCCACCCCTAAATAATGCCCACCCCGGGAGGTTATTACGGAAATCCTAGCCTGCTGCTGAAGAGTTAAAAACATAAGATCTTTAGTTGTCCACCTCTATCTGCATGTAGCAATTAAGAAAAAAAAAAATCTGATATTTTTTTTCTAATACCATTTTTGAAAGGCAGTCATAAAGCATCTTTAATATAACATAAAAATATAACTCTTGATAAATGCATGTTTATTTGACCTGGAAAGAAGCAAATTTAATAAATAAATAAATAAAACAGGGGCCTAAATCAGTGATAAACATTTGCACTTTTAAGGGTAAGGAAACCTTGTAACTTATTTGGAATTATCTTTAAAATCAATTTTCAAACATAAATATATAGCCTATATGCATGTATGTGTGTAAAAACGGACAGATGAGTAGATAGTTTATTATTGATGTCTTCGCTTCATAGTTTATTATTGATATCTTCGCTTCATTTGCTACAGTCTGTCCAATTTTATCTCCCATTCTAGCCATCTCGCCAGATGAGTAACGTTGACATTCCTGTTGCAATGCAAATTATGTGTTCTCTTGCTCTTCCTGAGGCTCGGCTGACCAAAACCACATCTGGCCAAGGGTTGCCGTCAAGAGGTAAGACTCTGTGGGGTGTGGAGACAAAGAATGGACCACACGACTCCCCTTGTGCTCCAGTCTGTCAGTTAAAGAAGAAAAAATACTGTAATTGAGAAAGAGAACAACAGAAGGAGGAAGGAAAGAAGGGAGGGAAGGTGGTGGGAGAAGGGGAGGGTGAGAGAGAGGAAGGGAGGGAGGGAAGGAGGTAGGGAAGGAGGGAGGGAAGGAGGGAAAGAAAGAGAAAAGAAAGAGAGAGGGAGGGAGGGAGAGAGAAAGGGAGGAGAGGGAAAGGGAAAGGGAGAAGGAGAGAGAAAGTGGGTAACTGAGGCTTGTACATTTTGTATCTGTCTCTAAATATCTCTTGTTTCAACAATGCATGCCTTGTTACACAAACTGCAACAGTGGCACAGCAAAAACAATATGAAAGAGTACAACAGGTATATCCATTTTCAAATA